TAAGTACAAAAAAAGGGAGTACATACTTAAGTACGATATTGGCTGTATAGAACTTAGTACAATTTTTTACGAAGTGAACCTAATCTAACTTTACCTTGCTTAACCAAACCTAATCTGATCTAACCAACCTTAACCCTAACCTAACCCAACCTAATCTAGTAGTTTAGATAGTAGTTTTTTTTAACTATGTATACTATAGTACAAAGATTGTCGTTCTAATCAATTAGATAATAGAACTTTGTACTATTCATTTTAGAGAATCAGAAAAAATGAAACTAAAAATCAAACTTAAATATTCCTAGGCCTAGTATAGTACACATATGTACTATATTAGGCCTCAGATAGTGTGTATTAGGCTTAGGAATGGTAGGTTAGGTTAGTTTTTGTCTTTGCAACATAAGTAGAAAATAGGTTTCAGGTTTGTCCAACTCAATAGTTCATATTTCTACTTTCTAATTTCGTTTTTCGAGAGAGAGAGAGAGAGAGAGAGAGAGAGAGAGAGAGAGAGAGAGAGAGAGAGAGAGAGAGAGAGAGAGAGAGAGAGAGAGAGAGAGAGAGAGAGAGAGAGAGAGAATATGAGAAAATCCATCCCAATCTTGTAAATCATAAATAATTCTGGTCAAAGCGTTATCTTTTGCATTACTAGTCGGTGGCTGTAAAGGTGTTGGAGAAGCCTCTCCTCAAGCCCCCAGATCTGGGGGCCCACCAAGACCCACCCTCGAGGTCGGGGGCCCACCAAGACCCACCCTCGAGGTCTTGGGGCCCACCATGACCCACCCTTGAGGTCTGGGGGCCCACCAACACCCACCTCCCCCAACTCCACTGCTGCACACACGGAATAATTTAGCGAAGAGTTGAGTTCAAGCGACGAGTACCACCCAAGACCCTGGTCCCTTGATGGTATGAATCGTTTATGGAGTTAAACGTTACTCCTTAACGTACTTCTTCGTTAATACTCGAAGTACTAACCCTCTTCGTTAGTACTTCGAACTCCAAACCTCTTCGGAGTACTTCGAAGTGTCTTCGTACAAGATTCTTAACACAAACATTTCTTGATTTACGAAGTACTTGTTTCTAGGAGATTATTTGCTGTTTATGTCTGTTTCTGAATACAAAAGAACAAAATACAAAAGTAAACAAATTCTGAATTGCTGGAAATACTGTGTGGGAGAGCTTGCGAGTTGTGTCCATTGATTATATGTAATGTGATTATGTATTATGTAGGGTTTACACTGACTAGCTGGCCAGTTCACAGTGTTGTGAATTGTGGTGTAGAGTGGTGTAGGGTGTGGTGTAGGGTGTGGTGTAGAGTGTGGTGTAGAGTGTGGTGTAGAGTGGTGTAGAGTGTGGTGTAGAGTGTGGTGAAGGGTGGTGTAGAGTGGTGTAGGGTGTGGTGTAGAGTGTGGTGTAGAGTGTGGTGAAGGGTGGTGTTGAGTGGTGTAGGGTGTGGTGTAGAGTGTGGTGTAGAGTGTGGTGTAGGGTGTGGTGTAGAGTGTGGTGTAGAGTGTGGTGTAGAGTGTGGTGAAGGGTGGTGTTGAGTGGTGTGTTGGTATATACATAGTGAGATGTATAACGTTGAAAAATATGTATAGGGAGATGAATAACATTGTATAGTGAAATGAATAACATTGTGAAGTATGGTGTATAACGTAGTGCAGTATGGCGTAGTATAGAAGTATAGTGCATATAGTATAGGAGGGGTTAGTTGGTGGGGGGAGGGGGTTAGTAACCACCTATTTCCCCCCCCCTCAACAATTACACCCATTTCCCCCCCCCCCCCCCCCCCTCACAAACACACATACACTACTCGAACCCTGAAACCATCTCATCAACTCACTCACCCGTCCACACACAACCACAACAGTCTGCTTCATCCATCCGCAAAACTGTTCGCAAATTGACAGCTTTGTACAAAGTGAAAAATGTCAAATTTAAAAAAAAAATATATATTCCATAAATATAAATTACAATATAGATCTGAAACAAAACAATTTGCCAGAAAAACCAACAACTAGGGCTTAAAATTTATATTAAAAAAAGGACTTCAAAATCTAAGTTCTTAAATTCACGATGAATTTTTATATATTTTAACTAAAAAAAAAAGTTATTCGAATTCAATAATATTAATTAAATTCAAAATTTACAAGTGATATCGTTTCGAAACTTAAAATGTGTCGCAAAAATTCATTCAAACTTATTAAATCGTAAACAAAAAAATCAACCCGACTCATTTCAAAGTAAAAATTTAAGTTCGAAATTTCAAGATTTCATATATTCAAAATAGTTATGTACTTATTTCAAAACTAATTTCATCTGTTTCTTCGGCCTATCGAGTATAATAAGTGTTCAATATCTTTATTCCATCTCCTTATACTTTTCCATCCACTTCCTCCCATTCTATCCACTCTTCCACCATATCTATCTACATGTATCTATCTATATCTATTTATATATCTATCTCCGTCATCTACTTTTCCGACTAGGTAAAATCCTCCGCCTCTATAATCAAAATACACAAATTAAATCGCTTTGACGAGGCTGAGTTTGCGATACGCGGCTTGTAATATTTGCGTATGTTACCAGGCCGCCTTGTTGACGCAAGCGTCACGCAGCCTTGTTGACGCAAGCTTCACACCAGGTAACCGGCCGGGCGCGAACACCGCAAGTGTCAATACCAGCCACGGGGAAGGGGGTTCATAAACAAACTTTTTAAGTACGTATAGCCAGCCAGCTGAATCCTAACTCGGTGAGGATGGGCGTACTCACATAGATGTGAGTTTCCTGAGTATTTCGTCAATTTGTACCTGCCTGTGTTGGCGTGAGTTCGACTCCAGATTCTAGGGGAGCTGTTCTAGAAATCTGCGATCGACTGGCATAGTTGAGCTCTGTGGCATCTATCTTGAGGTTATCTTGAGATGATTTCGGGGCTTTAGTGTCCCCGCGGCCCGGTCCTCGACCAGGCCTCCACCCCCAGGAAGCAGCCCGTGACAGCTGATTAACACCCAGGTACCTATTTACTGCTAGGTAACAGGGGCATTCAGGGTGAAAGAAACTTTGCCCATTTGTTTCTGCCTCGTGCGGGAATCGAACCCGCGCCACAGAATTACGAGTCGTGCGCGCTATCCACCAGGCTACGAGGCCCCCTCTATGTTTAGAACTCTAAATGGAATCAACCTCAGGTAAGGAGGTTGAACAGTATGAAGTCTATATGGAAACAACCTCATCCAATCTCTTCCCCAACATCCCAAACACTATATACGTTTTCCCTATTTGACTCTTTTGCATGATTAGGTGTAATCTGTGGCCCTCCCCAATCCCCGATCCAATACCCAGGGTATTTTGTACCCCGTTAGAGAGCCGCACGCAGTCTGAAATGTTAATCTCGGGCCGATTGATCAGGTACTCTTTCGAGGTGATTATCCAGTTTGCAATCGAATGCCAAAAGAGGTGGTTAGGTATGTCCTCTTGTATTTCAACTCATCCTCCTGTTTAGATAGTTCTCTGTATAAATATGTGCACCATCGTATATATACACATGTAATGTACAATTAGATTGGAGAATTTGGTACTATTCATTTTATAGTTCGAAAAAATAGCTGAAAAACAAAGTTAAATATGCCTAGTATAGCTCATATATTTACTATATTAGGTCTCAACGTGCATAGGCCTAGGAAGGTTAGATTATGTTAGGTTTTCTTTGCAGCATCAGTACGAAAACTTTCCCAGTTTGTCCAAATTCAATAGTACCGATTTCTATTTTTATAATATAATATTTCTATATAATATTGTGACGGAAATTCCTTTTCCGTCACAATATGTGCGATAGTCCTAATGGCTACTGTAAGTACTTCCTAAACAGGAAACCTGCTTGATGGGGTTCTGGGAATTCTTCTACTCCCTAAACCCGGCCCGAGGCCAGGCTCGACTTGTGAGAGTTTGGTCCACCAGGCTGTTGCTTGGAGCGGCCCGCAGGCCCACATACCCACCACAGCCCGGTTGGTCCGGCACTTCTTGGAGAAAAGATCTAGTTTTCTCTTGAAGATGTCCACGGTTGTTCCGGCAATATTTCTTATACTCGCTGGGAGGGTGTTGAACAACCGTGGGCTTCGAGGAGGAGGTGCTTGTGTATTTAGAGGGAGTGTTGAAAAGTCTTAGCACCTTATCTTGAGATGATTTCGGGGCTTAGCGTCCCCGCGGCCCAGTCCTCGACCAGGCCTCCTTTTTGTTACACACCCCCAGGAAGCAGCCCGTAGCAGCTGTCTAACTCCCAGGTAACTATTTACTGCTAGGTGAACAGGAGCATCAGAGTGGAAGAAACTCTGCCCAATTGTTTCCGCCTCCACTGGGGATCGAACCTAGAATCTTAGGACTACGAATCCCGTGTGCTATCCACTCAGTCGTCAGGCCCCTTGATGGTAATGGAAGTGTACCTATTGTACCCAGACTTTCTGACTGTGCTCTTGTGTGCATTCTCATGCCTATATACTAGTTACGTGTGCAGATTTAGAAGCAATCCCTCTAATATTTTCCAGTTGTAAATTACGATGCATCTCTCACCTCCTGCGTAGGTCATACGTCAGGCTGCGAGCAGCCGCGTCTAACAGCCTGGTTGATCAGTCCAGCAACCAGGAGGCCTGGTCGACGACCGGGCCGCGGGGACGCTAAGCCCCGGAAGCACCTCAAGGTAACCTCAAGGTCCTCTCCATGGAGGATAAATTGATGGGGTTTTAATCAAACCTAATAATTTATACGAACACAAGTAATATATTCCTGGAACTTAAAAGGTTAAAGTCTAAGGAAAAACAAGAAATCCTTAGAAAAAAGGTGCTTGATCAGCTGCAATGCCAGGAAGTCTGGCAAGGGGACGGGCTGTACTTCTTGAGAATGTTGTGAGTGGCACAGACGACCACCAAGGGTTCGATACCCAGGCCCCAGCAAGCACATCACCCTCAAGGCCTCTCGGTAGGTCAATACAACATGGCGGACGTGGGAGTACTGACCTTCAACGAAGAAGAGCATCGTCTCGTTGTTGAGGTTGTCCATCAGGGGCTGGACGGTCTCAACGGCCAGGGTTTCGAGAACGTTGGCCCGGATGTCCAGGTGATGGATGTTGGGGGCCGTGAGGAAGACCTCGGGGCCCAGGGTCAATAGCTTGTTGTCCTGCCACACACAACCACGTAATAATTAGTTCAGCTGCAACAAGAGCCCGGCTCTGATCACTATCAAACATGCGATGATATTTAGCTTTCCATTGCAAGTTACATTAAACTATATCATGACTGCATTAAAAATAAACATTAGATACATGAAGCAATTATAATGTATATGCAAATGATCTTAATACTTTACATGGTTTAATTAACCTATACAGGTAAAATCCATTGAAGATTTCTTTAAATTGTGAACAATACTCATGATAAACATGCCTGTAAGTTGAGCTGCTGCAGGTGGTCGAGGCCAAGGAAGCCCTTGGGAGATATGTACTTGAGAGAGTTCTGTTGTAAGTCCAAGACTCGGAGAGCTTGTAAATCACGGAAGGTCTTATCGCCGATAACCTCAATGCGGTTCTTATGGAGATCGAGGCGTTCCAGAGATCGAAGTCCCTTAAAGGTATCTGGCGTGATCACCTGCAACAGGGAGAACAAGTGAAGGTTAAACTCAACATTCACCCTTCAGTCCAGATAGAAAATTATCACTTCAGTTTCAGAGACAGTCAGTATTTACTTCAATTTGTGGGACACCCTTTAGTTTCATATCTGTGGATTGGGTACCTAACTTTAAGCGACTTTAAGGTGACATTGAGTACATGAGGGTAATTATATATTTTATATTCGTTATACAATATCATTCAACAGTTGGAGGGTAGAAATAGCTTAAACTACTCTATCCCTTTGAGATGTATTTCTTTCTTGTCTCAATAAACATACTTGAACTTGAATTCAACAGTTCAAACCAACAAGAAAAGTGCCAACAAAAGCATCGTAAGACTAGAAAATGAACCCCACCTGAATTTGGTTGGCGAAGAGTTCGAGTTCTTCCAGGTTGTGGAGGCCCTGGAAGGCCCGCTCGTGGACGATGGTGATGTTATTCCGATCAATATAGAGCTTGGTGAGCTTCGGCAGGTCTACGAAGACATGCCGGTTGACTTCGGTGATGTGGTTCTCGCCCAGCGTGAGGGTGTCGAGGGATGGAAGGTGCGTGAAGGCGTTGCGAGCCAGGGTGAAGATGGAGTTCCTGGAGAGGGAGACCTTCGAGAGGGAGCTGGAGTTTCCGAAGCTGTAGGCGTGGACGGTGTTGATGGTGGCGTACTGCACCTGGTGGCCCAGACAACACGAGGGTCGCTCGTCAGTATAGTGTTAATATTTACATCTGTCACTCGTTCAAGGCTCACCAATACCTCCCTCACTCACGGTAATTGGCAACCGCAAGACCGTATTACCTATATTTTTAACATGTAAATGTATTAACATTCTGCTCAATACGAAATTGAGTGTGTGTGTGTGTGTGTGTGTGTGTGTGTGTGTGTGTGTGTGTGTGTGTGTGTGTGTGTGTGTGTGTGTGTGTGTGTGTGTGTGTGACATGAAACATTTTGCTGCTCCATAAAATTACAGACAGTAATTATCTTAGCAACTTATGAAAAGCTCTTGTTTAAACTCCCATCATTCTTAATCCTTAAATTACCCCTTTTCATCCCCAAAACAAGACCTGAGAAAATTAATCCCAGACAAGTTCAGTCTGGAAGCAAACTTTTACGTCAACAACGCTGGCCATCACCGGAGATTCGAACTCGGGCCTCAAAAATTACCTAACCGTTGTCCTACCAACCCCACCATGGTTGCCCCACAATAAGGTAAGATCCCAGACGCACCTAACTGGTACCTAATGGAGACTTTTACACTTTGTGGAGCAGTTTTAAGATATTTCAAGGATATCTACCCCCTTTATCCATGCCATTTAAGAGGCTATTGTGGACTGGCTCTTAATTTTCAATATATTAAAGATAAAACTTACAAGGCACTCGGGAATCATCATCTAGAATCTAGATCATCATTAATCAAATACATCAACATTGAGATCACACACACCAGTTTGATTCCCCCAGCCGGTGATGACCCAAGCGTTGTTACACCCATTTACTGGTGACTTCCTAACCTATTCCTTGAACTCCTAACCTATCCCCCGCCCTCGGAACCTATCCCTCGACCTCAGCTCTTAAAACACTGCCTGGCCTGTATCCTCTCTGGGTAAAGGGACAAGGATGATCTTTGGATAGAGGAGCCAGGACCCCCACTGGATAGAGGAGCCAGGACCCCACCACTGGATAGAGAAGCCAGGACCCCCCTCCCCCCCTACTGGATAGAGGAGCCAGGACCCCTACTGGATAGAGAAGCCAGGACCCCCTCCCCCCTACTGGATAGAGAAGCCAGGACCCCCTCCCCCCTACTGGATAGAGAAGCCAGGACCCCCTCCCCCTACTGGATAGAAGAGCCAGGACCCCCTCCCCCTACTGGACAGAGAAGCCAGCGACCCCTCCCTACTGGATAGAGAAGCCAGGACCCCCTCCCCTCTACTGGATAGAGGAGGCAGGACCCCTACTGGATAGAGGAGCCAGGACCCCCCTCCCCCCTACTAGATAGAGGAGCCAGGACCCCCCTCCCCCTACTGGATAGAGGAGCCAGGACCCCTACTGGATAGAGAAGCCAGGACCCCCTCCCTCCTACTGGATAGAGAAGCCAGGACCCCCTCCCCCATATTGGATAGAGAAGCCAGGACCCCCTCCCCCCTACTGGATAGAGAAGCCAGCGACCCTTCCCCCTGGATAGAAGAGCCAGGACCCCCTCCCCCTACTGGATAGAGAAGCCAGCGACCCCTCCCTACTGGATAGAGAAGCCAGGACCCCCTCCTCCCCTGGATAGAGGAGCCAGGACCCCCACCTACCTCGAACATGTGTATCCCCTGCAGGTGCTGGATAGCGATGGTGGGGATGGACTTGAGGGTGCCATCTGGGCGGAGGTGGAGCGTCAGCCTCTTGATCTTAGTCTGGGAGACGAAGCCCTCCCAAATCACCTCGTTCTTGGACATGTCGTTGAAGATCCAGCAGTTACCCTCCTCAGCCTGTGGAGCACCAGAGGCAGGTGTTGCAAACTTATTGGCATCAAGTGATAAATGTACACATGTTCTACCTTGTCAATAACTTTAAATGGCTGTTTTAACATCATTAGTAATGTTGTAAGAAGTTAATTACCTTGGGGTTACCTTGGGGTTACCTTGAGGATACTGTCAAGACATTTCCCCTTAATACTTTGTCATCAGGATGTTCACCTAGGCATGGACTGTGGTCTTATGGTTAGTTTACCTTTGTTTACCTCTTAAGAGATTTATACTAAATCTTAGCCCGATGATAAAGGTCAGAGGAAATGCCAAAAAGAGTGCAAAACACCAAGGTAGAGTAACGCTGACAAAATATTGGTTTACAAATAAATAAAACGTAACATAGTTAATTAGGCAGTGGGCTCCCACAGCCTTCAGGTACCTTGATATATGTGTGTGTGTATATATACGTGTGTGTGTGTGTGTGTGTGTGTGTGTGTGTGTGTGTGTGTGTGTGTGTGTGTGTGTGTGTGTGTGTGTGTGTGTGTGTGTGTGTGTGTGGGTGTGTATACGTGTGGGTGTGTGTGTGTATATTTATAGTGTATATGTGTATGTTATCAAAAATTATCAATAGGCACATGCCTCTGTATGACTAACCATCCAATGTGATGGAGATTTACAGCATCACGGAGCTAGCTTTTTGACACACTCAGTACTCTCCTTCACAAATGAAGCAGCTATATCTAACTGTTTTTTTTAAACATCTGTCTGATAATCGCATGTTTTATAGATTATCTACTCAGGCAAGATTATTCAAAGATAAAAATTAGATAAAAATATTAAGACACCTGGACTCTACATCCCTAATTTGTGGTTTCTCAAAACAACTCTTATGATCTGCTGTAACAAGAGGAGAAATTAATATATATATATATATATATATATATATATATATATATATATATATATATATATATATATATATATATATATATATATATATATATGCATGCGAACAAGCCTGAATGGTCCCCAGGACTATATGCAACTGAAAACTCACACCCCAGAAGTGACTCGAACCCATACTGCCAGGAGCAATGCAACTGATGCGTACAGGACACCTTAATCCACTCGACCATCACGACCGGACATAAGTAGGTGATAGCCGAAGCTATTTGAACCACTCCCCCGCCGGCACTCGGATGGTAATCTTGGACATAGTATTTTATCAAATCACCTCATTCTTTGAGGCACACGTGAAGAACACAAATGCAAACAAGCCTGAATGGTCCCCAGGACTATATGCAACTGAAAACTTACACCCTGTGTAAGTTTAAGACAAGAAACTGTGTAAGTTTAAGACAAGAAACTGTGTAAGTTTAAGACAAGAAACTGTGTAAGTTTAAGACAAGAAACTGTGTAAGTTTAAGACAAGAAACTGTGTAAGTTTAAGACAAGAAACTGTGTAAGTTTAAGACAAGAAACTGTGTAAGTTTAAGACAAGAAACTGTGTATGGTGTCCGCATCTGTCTGTAAATGCGAGTATGCAGCCTGTCCTCAGGGAGGAAATACGCTCACAGGAATGGATTGAGAATGACTTCATAATTAGTGCTATTATCTACTCTATATCCATGGTTACTTCAGGTTAAGGTTTGATTAGGTTAAATTACCTTTAGTTACGTTAACACAGTGTATTATTAACGATAATGTGCAATAAATTCGAAAACTATTTCAGTGTACCCGAGGATTCCATTTACAAAAAAACTAATTCTTCAAAGAAAACGTTTTCAGCATACACTTTTTACATTTTAAACCAGCAGCCGAGTTGACCAGACGACCAACCGGGAGACCTGGTCAGAGACCGGTCCCTGTGGCCATTGATCCCCGGAACCTTCACAAGGTTTCCCACAAGATAAGAACAAACGACTTATAACACAATAAAGTTATAACTTGAAAATAATCTCTGTTTAGAACAAAGATTCACTCGCCAGCTTACATGTCGACTCTTACTGGAGCCGTAATATGTTGTCAGGCCTTCACAAATATAATCTAGATAACTATCTAGATAACTATCTATCTAGATAAATCTTATAACTTAAATCTTAATATAAATCTTAATCTTAAATCTTAAATCTTAAATATAATATAAATCTTATAAATCTAGATAAATCTATATATAATATATATATTTATCTAGATAAATCTAGATAACTATCCTGGTGGTTTGAGTTGGTGGGGGGGGGAGGGGGGGGTTACTGATCTTTTAGAGGTTATCTTGAGATGATTTCGGGGCTTAGCGCTCCCTCGGCCCGGTCCTCGACTAGTCTCCATTTTTTATACACGCCCCCAGGAAGCAACCCGTAGCAGCTGTCTAACTCCCAGGTACCTATTTACTGCTAGGTGAACAGGAGCATCAGGGCCATGCAAGACACACATATACAAATCTTGTCGCTCTCCGTAAGAAATCAATTCAGACGCCGGAATTCGGGTCATTGTAGATCTTGTGCCGGCTTTGACGGTATAATTACAGAGGTGAGGAGCTGCCAGGCGTCGAGGTGGGGCGGGACGAGGCGAGGCGAGGCAGGGTGAGGCAGGGTGAGGCGGGGCGAGGCAGGGTGAGGCAGGGCGAGGCAGGGCGAGGCAGGGTGGGGCGAGGAAGGGTGGGGCGAGGTGGAGCGAGGCAAGGCGAGGCGGGGCGGGGCTGGGCGGGGCGGGGCGGGGCGAGGCGGGGCGGGGCGAGGTGGGGCGGGGTGGGGCGGGGTGGGGCGGGGCGGGGCGGGGCGGGGCGGAGCGAGGCAGGGTGGAGCGAGGCGGGGCGAGGCAGGGCGAGGCTGGTCCCCATGGTCGCACTAATCTACCAAGTTTTACCATCAACCTGAGAGGATGGTTATCCCCCCCAGATGATCACACACCCCAACTTTACCTTCCGTTCATTAATTTTTGTTGGAAGCGGAGGAGGAGGAGGCTGGGTGATAGCGGCCGACCCGGGTGTTGCACGATAGCCATTGCAACCCTATTGCTGGAGTTGCAAAGACGTGGGGGGGGGGGGTGAGGTAAGTAGGCATGGAATGAGAAATGAAGACACAAACGGGAATAAAGAAAAGAGAGGAAGAGAGAGAGAGAGAGAGAGAGAGAGAGAGAGAGAGAGAGAGAGAGAGAGAGAGAGAGAGAGAGAGAGAGAGAGAGAGAGAGAGAGAGAGAGAGAGAGAGAGAGGAACAAAAGAAATTAAATTTTCTCCTTGTCATCCTTGACTGCCCTCAGCTCCTCAAGGCATAACTGTGACGTGCTTATCTCTGTAGCTAGGTAAAGATATAATGAAATAATCAATGATGGAGTCAGAGTTAGTCGCCTGTGGATTCCTTCCCATATTGGTCTCCGAAGGCATGATAGAACTAATGAGTTGGCCAAAACTTTTGCTCGTAAAGAGGGAATTGATTACCATCTTGGACTGCCTTTGAGCAGCCTGAGGGCAGTAATATTCCGGGAACATCAACAAAATCTCGTAGACTTGAGGCAAAAATGAAATTCACACCAGTTGCTCCATCTATCATCTTTTCTATTATGCAGGAAGTACCGCACGTCTATGGGTCATCCAATAAGGTTAGCAGACTTAGATAGGATAGGAGCTGCAGACTTAGATAGGATAGGATAGGAGCTGTTAGATAGGAGCTGCCTCGTATGGGCCAATAGGCCTTCTGCAGTTACCTTTGTTCTTGTGTTCTTGTGACTTCTAGATGTCACCACTGCTAGGCTTAGGCTCGGCTACAAGTACCTCTGGGAGTGTGTAACATCTGCTGATGTAGAGTTGACTAAATGTAAACTCTGTCAGCAGAACTATTCTACATATAGGAACAGTGGTCAAAGGCGTATAATTACTGATTATACAAGTTATCAACCGTAGGAGTAAACATTTAAATGTGTATAAGCAGGACATACAAGATTATAGAAGCTGGGACGAGCTGCTTATACACGAGTATAAGCAGGTTATACATGCGTATAGAATCAGGGTATACATGTGTATATAAGCAGGATATACATATGGATACAAGCATGGTATAAGCCATTGTGTAGGATCATGAAGTATACCTATGTATGACGTGTGTGTGTGTGTTCATGTCTTCTTTTGTATCGTATAGCGATATTTGTAAATCTTTCCGGGCCGTTCAAAATTTGGGTGGATATAAATAGGAGCTGTTTGGCATGGACCAATAGGAGCTGCTTGACATGGACCAATAGGAGCTGTTTGGCATGGACCAATAGGAGCTGCTTGGCATGGACCAATAGGAGCTGCTTGACATGGACCAATAGGAGCTGCTTGACATGGACCAATAGGAGCTGTTTGGCATGGACCAATAGGAGCTGCTTGGCATGGACCAATAGGAGCTGCTTGACATGGACCAATAGGAGCTGCTTGACATGGACCAATAGGAGCTGTTTGGCATGGACCAATAGGAGCTGCTTGGCATGGACCAATAGGAGCTGCTTGGCATGGACCAATTGGAGCTGCTTGACATGGACCAATAGGAGCTGCTTAGCATGGACCAATAGGAGCTGCTTGGCATGGACCAATAGGAGCTGCTTGGCATGGACCAATAGGAGCTGCTTGGCATGGACCAATTGGAGCTGCTTGGCATGGACCAATAGGAGCTGCTTGACATGGACCAATAGGAGCTGTTTGGCATGGACCAATAGGAGCTGCTTGGCATGGACCAATAGGAGCTGCTTGGCATGGACCAATAGGAGCTGCTTGGCATGGACCAATAGGAGCTGCTTGGCATGGACCAATAGGAGCTGCTTGGCATGGACCAATAGGAGCTGTTTGGCATGGACCAATAGGAGCTGTTTGGCATGGACCAATAGGAGCTGTTTGGCATGGACCAATAGCAGCTGCTTGGCATGGACCAATAGGAGGTCCATGCAAGGGAACCTCTTGCCACAGTTACCTGTGGTTATCTTGAGATGATGAGGTTATCTTGAGATGATTTCGGGGCTTTAGTGTCCCCGCGGCCCGGTTCTAACCCCCAGGAAGCAGCCCGTGACAGCTGACTAACACCCAGGTACCTATTTTACTGCTAGGTAACAGGGGCATAGGGTGAAAGAAACTCTGCTCATTGTTTCTCGCCGGCGCCCGGGATCGAACCCGGGACCACAGGATCACAAGTCCAGTGTGCTGTCCGCACGGCCGACCGGCTCCCTTGGCAGGTTGCTACCGTTACCTGTGACAGGTGGCTACCGTTACCTGTGACAGATAGCTACCGTTACCTGTGGCAGGTAGCTACCGTTACCTGTGGCAGATAGCTACCGTTACCTGTGGCAGGTGGCTACAGGTGACGGATCTCCCAATCCTGAGCACTCCAGTTGCAAACTCTGTGAGCAGGAACTGCGGCATGATCTCCCACACTACATCACCGAATGCCCAGATATCAGACCATTCAGACCCGCTGGCATGAGCTACCTGGAGCTTTGCAATTACTTTATTACCTCCCGTGTTCTTGATGATATCCTCATAATGATCCCATAAGTTTACCAGTGAAGGTAACTGTTTACATGTAGGTGAACAGGAGGGGAAGGAAGAAGGGAAGGTGGAGAGAGAGGGGGGTAAGGAGAACAGAAACAAGCGATTTGAACTACCCAATTAACATCACCAAACCCTAAAACTGCCCTAAGTGCCAACTAGTGCGGGCCTCATGGCACACCTGTGAGGGCCAATTACCCTCCCCCACGGGTGCCATACCCACACTCCAGCTGGACTCGTGGCACTCCCTGGCACCCCCCCCCCAATCAACTTTACCAACTTGGTTCAAACTTGTCCACTTCCTGAACGTCTCTTGTGCCAAATTTCACCCCCAGGTTAATCCATGTCTCAGGGACTAATTACCGTCTCACGAACACACTCCCATGCTCCGCCCCCCCTGGGAGTAATGTGGGAGTATAATGATAGATATAATGTAAAAGAGTAAGGTGAGTTCTTATGAAGACTTGACAGGTGTGGAGGACGACTCAGCGAGACTATAGACAGGTGTGGAGGAGGACTCAGCGAGACTATAGACAGGTATGGAGGAGGACTCAGCAAGACTATAGACAGGTGTGGAGGAGGACTCAGTGAGACTATAGACAGGTGTGGAGGACGACTCAGGGAGACTATAGACAGGTGTGGAGGAGGACTCAGGGAGACTATAGACAGGTGTGGAGGAGGACTCAGCGAGACTATAGACAGGTATGGAGGAGGGCTCAGCAAGACTATAGACAGGTGTGTGGAGGAGGACTCAGCAAGACTATAGACAGGTGTGGAGGAGGACTCAGCAAGACTATAGACAGGTGTGGAGGAGGACTCAGCAAGACTATAGACAGGTGTGGAGGAGGACTCAACAAGCCTATAGACAGGTGTGGACATCAGAGTAGCCCTGAGTTTAGAGTCCAATATAAATTTCTGGCCAACAGACAGGCGTGAAATAAAAAATAAATTGCTAAGAGTATGCAGAACTCGAACCCAGGTCATGAAAACACGCGTCCAACACGCTACCACAGTGACATGAAAGCTCGTCATTTGGACCACTACGTCATATAGGAAGAATCATATATGACAATGTTCACAGTTGATTATTTCTCAAACCGGAGGGGACTACACTGTTTTACACATTGGACCCAAAACGGACTAGGAGTCTGACTGGACGACGGGTTGTCTGACACACACACAACAAACACTGGATCCAACACACTATTACTGCTCGAAACTGCCTTAGTACAGACCTGGTCGATATCGAGGACGTCGCAGTAACAGTAGATGACTTCAGGGGTCTGGATGTCACACATGTTGAAGTCAGCGTCGAGGAGCGGCGCCGTCTCAGGTTCCTCGGCGTTCTTGCGGTTTTTCTTCTTTTTCTTACCCTCCGTGGCGACCACCACCATGCAGAAGAGGACCTTCACGTGGAACAGCAGCTTCTCCGGCAGCATCTTGGCGCTCAACCTGGTCACCAGAGTAAGAAATATATATGTTAGAAATGGGAATGTCTTCTCGCAGACACAATAACATGGGGTATAAACTCACACGTGTATATGTGGATTTTTTTGTAAGGAATTTACATCAAGTCTTTCGTATTCTCCTGAGTGTTTAGTCTAGGTGTTAGTGTAAGGTTTGGATGAGATTTACATTTCAACGTCTAATCCGATTAGACGTTGAAGTGCAAGTCTCATCCTAATCACACATTCAGACCTCGATAAAGCACTCAGGAGAGTGCGAAAGACTTGGTGTAAATTCCTTACATAAATTTCACATATACACATTTGTGGATTTTTTATCCTAAAATATATATATGTACTCTTTGTATAGTTGGGTTAAATATAACAAAACTTGGTATAAATTGTTTTAATTCAATTTGTTTATTAATAAACTCATTCGCTAGGTAAGTTAGCAGATTACTCAAGATCACATTAATGAGTTCTGGATCTGGACCCCTAGTGATAATTAAACTGAGTAATATACATTTGTGCTGAGTTTGCTGATTGTACCTGAGTTACTTTCTACCTGGGTCTATAAGGTACACACACACACACACACACACACACACACACACACACACACACACACACACACACACACACACACACACACAGCAACCAATACTGGCACCACAAGCTTGCGATGAACAATGCGCAAACTCCCTCCAACATGGTTCTAACCCCCCCCCCCTTCACACTAGTTGAAGAGTTTACTGCTTCAGAAGTAAACTCGACTTTGCAGCGGATCAGACTATACTAATTACATGGGATATGTCGATTCAACGCTTCCACTTGTAGTGGACTGGCATTCCTTGGGTTAATTAAACTGTTGGTGAGAGCAGGTGATATATCTCGTCGAATTGGGTCGTTACAACAATGTTGGTGACACCAATAGCATGGTTGTCACTCTACGCTAGCATGATTTAACACAGGAAGCCATTCTAGCATGATCTAACACGGGAAGCTTGACTAACAGGATCTAACTACAGGAAGTTTTACTTGATAATCTAACTAGAGAAAGACTTATTGGTATAGTGTAAACACATGATGCCTCACTAGCATAGACTAGCCACGGGACAGCTTACTAGTATAGACTAGCCACCCACGAGACAGCTTACTAGTATAGACTAGCCACAAGACAGCTTACTAGCATAGGCTAGCCACGAGATAGCTTAATAGCATAGGCTAGCCACAAGACAGCTTACTAGCATAGGCTAGCCACGAGACAGCTTACTAGCATAGGCTAGCCACGAGATAGCTTAATAGCATAGGCTAGCCACAAGACAGCTTACTAGCATAGGCTAGCCACGAGACAGCTTACTAGCATAGGCTAGCCACGAGACAGCTTACTAGCATAGGCTAGCCACGAGATAGCTTAATAGCATAGGCTAGCCACAAGACAGCTTACTAGCATAGGCTAGCCACGAGACAGCTTACTAGCATAGGCTAGCCACGAGACAGCTTACTAACATAGGCTAGCCACGAGACAGCTTACTAACATAGGCTAGCCACGAGACAGCTTACTAGCATAGGCTAGCCACGAGACAGCTTACTAACAGAATTTAGCCCCAGAAAGCTTTCTATCGTGGTAAACTAAGCTAACAGAGGCAACTAAGAGAAATTACAAGCTAAATAACGCTAAGCTTGTGATGGAACAAGCTTAGGGAGCGTATCAGGTATCCAAAGGATACCTGATCAACCAGGCTGTGACTCATACGTCAGGCTGCGAACAGCCGCGTCCAACAGCCTGGTTGACCAGTCCAGTAACCAGGAGCGTAGATAGGTAGCCAGCAGGGACCTCTACTTCAGACCCATTAGCATCGAGGCAACCGCAGAAGGCCTATACATAGGCCTATACGAGGCAGAATCTATTTACATCCACCCAAACTCATTTGTATACATGTCTAGCCTACGCTTGAAACAATCCAACGAGCATATAATAACGAGTTCGAATCTGCATTTTTTTTTTTGCTAAAGATCCTAATAAGTGTTTCTTAGCTTTATTGGTTTATTATGCACCCCATACCCATCAAATGGACGGTGGTGGGACGGGTTAGAGAGGACCAACATGTCCTTCTAATAGCAAGTCCAATTTTGGACTTATAGTTTACCTTAAGGTCAAAAAAACTGTCGTGCTAGAAAATGGAAGCGGCTCGCGGAATTGACTTACTCTCCCGTTTTCAGTTTTGGGTCCTCTGGCAGGTTAGGATAAGGGCACGTTAGTACGTCAGTTTCTTGACGATGGGGACGCTGGCGAGGACGGGGTATCGAGAGAAGGGAACTATCAGGGAGAAGTGCCAAGCCATTACGACTATATAGCACTGGGAAGGGGTCACGATAAGGATTTGGGATGGGACGGGGGGAAAGGAATGGTGGCCCAACCACTTAAGACGCTCGGGGATTGAACGCCGACCTGCATGATCAAACACCGTAATCAGCTGTTTGCCGGGTCCTCCAACAAGCACGATATAACAATCTCACACGATGATATCATTCATCTCTCCGACATGACCCCCCCTCTCCGGGTCCAGGTTCGAGTCCCATAAACCTCGCTACTGTAATTGTTATCCTGCAATCACGACACGATAGGCTATGGTATAATTGTCTGACTCTTCTCTCTGAGCCCTATCCCAATCACTAGGGGCTTCACCCCCCTAGCCTCGAGCCCCTCATAAATCCCCCCCCCCCACCTAGCCCTTAGCCCCCCCCTAACCATCACCCCCTCCCAGAAGAGCGCTCTCAACCGGTTTCAAGCCCTGAAAACGAAAGAACGATTGGGCACTAACTATAGCTCCTCACCCTTCTGTTCACCCTAGCGGGTAGTGATGTGGTTGTAAATCGATGATTCGATTGTGTTCTCTGGGGGGAATCTATTAGGGTAGTTCTTCAAGATGACCTGTAGGGAGGATAGCTCTTGAGCCAGGCAATACTACTAGGTGAATAGAGGCATCAGGTGAAAGAAAATGTTGCGCAAACGATTCTCTCTATGAGTAAAGAAAGCGGGAGAGGTGCAGGTGAATGAGACAACTGCAGAAATGTAGACCATACGAGTCGTGAAAGCTGTCTTTGCTTGCTTCCTGTTGGGGGAATTGAACCCCGGACCATTGGGTTGGGACCCTACGGCGCAGACCACTAGGCTACAGGACCCCTAAATATATTAATCATCACACTGGAGCTGGATAAGTCCTCCTGGCTGGATAATTGATAATTACTTACAATTATAATGACGTAGTTAATGTTGTAACAACAACACATTACAGAACAATTAAGGTTGTGGTTGGGTTGTTAGCTGGGCATATGTGGGGGGGGGGGAGGGCAGTGCCAACAGTGACCCCTGTGTGGGGGGTCAGTGCCAACAGTGACCCCTGTGTGGGGGTCAGTGCCAACTGTGACCCCTGTGTGGGTGTCAGTGCCAACAGTGACCCCTGTGTGGGTGTCAGTGCCAACAGTGACCCCTGTGTGGGAGGGCAGTGCCAACAGTGACCCCTGTGTGAGGGCAGTGCCAACAGTGACCCCTGTGTGGGAGGGCAGTGCCAACAGTGACCCCTGTGTGAGGGCAGTGCCAACAGTGACCCCTGTGTGGGGGTCAGTGCCAACAGTGACCCCTGTGTGGGAGGTCAGTGCCAACAGTGACCCCTGTGTGAGGGGTCAGTGCCAACAGTGACCCCTGTGTGGGAGGTCAGTGCCAACTGTGACCCCTGTGTAGGGGTCAGTGCCAACAGTGACCCCTGTGTGGGAGGTCAGTGCCAACAGTGACCCCTGTGTGAGGGCAGTGCCAACTGTGACCCCTGTGTGGGGGTCAGTGCCAACAGTGACCCCTGTGTGAGGGCAGTGCCAACAGTGACCCCTGTGTGGGTGTCAGTGCCAACAGTGACCCCTGTGTGAGGGCAGTGCCAACAGTGACCCCTGTGTGAGGTCAGTGCCAACTGTTACCCCTGTGTGGGGGTCAGTGCCAACAGTGACCCCTGTGTGGGAGGACAGTGCCAACAGTGACCCCTGTGTGGGAGGGCAGTGCCAACAGTGACCCCTGTGTGAGGGCAGTGCCAACAGTGACCCCTGTGTGGGAGGTCAGTGCCAACAGTGACCCCTGTATGAGGGCAGTGCCAACTGTGACCCCTGTGTGGGGGTCAGTGCCAACAGTGACCCCTGTGTGAGGGCAGTGCCAACAGTGACCCCTGTGTGGGTGTCAGTGCCAACAGTGACCCCTGTGTGAGGGCAGTGCCAACAGTGACCCCTGTGAGAGGTCAGTGCCAACAGTGACCCCTGTGTGGGAGTTCAGTGCCAACAGTGACCCCTGTGTGAGGGGTCAGTGCCAACAGTGACCCCTGTGTGGGAGGTCAGTGCCAACAGTGACCCCTGTGTGGGCGTCAGTGCCAACAGTGACCCCTGTGTGGGAGGTCAGTGCCAACAGTGACCCTGTGGGAGGTCAGTGCCAACAGTGACATCACAATATCAACAGGAAAACCTGATAGAAAAAAGAGTTAGTTTCCACTTCGTCTCTCTTTCACTTACGGTAATATCTCCATATTCTCTGTCTGTCTGTCTGTCTGTCTGTCTGTCTGTCTGTCTGTCTGTCTGTCTCTCTCTCTCTCTCTCTCTCTCTCTCTCTCTCTCTCTCTCTCTCTCTCTCTCTCTCTCTCTCTCTCTCTCTCTCTCTCTCTCTCTCTCTCTCTCTCTCTCTCTCTCTCTCTCTCTCTCTCTCTCCCCTCTCCCCTTTATCTTTCTCCCTCTCTCTCCTACCTCCCCCTCCTTCAGTAATTACATCAGAGGCAGCTCCAACAGGCAGCTAACATGCACTTGATTTATTGCTTGTGGTCAATTTTCCTGTTGATGCATCAACGTGGATAATGGCTGGCAAATTACGCAGGATAAAGCCTGCAGATCCAACATCCACCCAGCTGGATCACGTGGCGTGCTGGATAAGCTGAGTTTAACCCCGTTGAACGAGTGTGTTGATTTAGTGTCTTT